ATAATGCAAGTAAGTCTTTTAAATTCTCAACTTCAAAAAATAGTTAGATATAATATATTGTACCCATTACTTTTTTATCAGACATTTTCTATATTAATATTTAGATGATTAATCTACATTTGTTGTATGGAAGTTTGAAAACCTCGATAACATTCGTTACAAATGTATGTATTATGTATGGTTGTAGACGTGTATATGAATACCTTCATAAACCAAGTTCACAAAAACGTTTTGTAAATAAAAATATATTATACTTTTTTTTAGAACAGCTAACACACACATACCTTTTAAATCCTACTTACGAATTATCCATTTTTGTCCATCACAAGATTTGAGCCATGGACCCCTTAGGAAGATACACATTTCCACTCACTTTGATATCATAGCCAAATGGCCTTTGATAATAGAGTTATTCATTATTTTTGGGTAGATATATTGTATAATATTCCATAGAAACATCACGATTTACAAAACGAGGGATGTATAAAAATTAGCACAAATATTGGTTGTGGTGGGTACCCGGTGGATAACGGTTCCAGAAACTTTAAAAATCGGAACCAGAATCGCTTCATCGGTTCCAGTATTTAGGAACCGGAACCGAAACCACTTACAGCGGTTCCGAAATTGCTGGTTCCGATGCTCACCCTAGTTGCACTAGCCTTCGAACCATGTACTTGTAGACTTTCCCGCTCTCATGGTCTTCCTCGAACAGGACATACCACTCTGTTACTTGTGGTTCACAAAACTTTCGACAATATCAAGAGTAATTGTCGAAAGTTTCAATGGGAGTAGCCTGAAACGGGTTGGAGTTCAAGCAAGGAGGATGGAGAATCGGGATCACCCTGGAGCAACATAGGTACATAATTTCGCAAAAGAAAAGTAATGGATGAATGATGATAAAATAAGATTACTTGTTTTAAAGTAAAATATGTTATGTAAAATATGTTATGTTTGGTTTGAAGTTTACAAAAATTTTGTCTTTATAATTATATTATTAGCTAACGAGAAATTAAATTACCTCCTACCTTTTATGCCTACAATTATTCCTACCCACTAAAATTATGACAAATCATCATTCAATTTAATTTTATTTGATATATTCCTAATATAGCCTTAATGAGTTAGTTAACAAAATATGGAATGATGACATTTGTCATAATTTTATTGGGTAGGAACATTTGTAGGCATAAAAAGTAGGAAGCAATTTAATTTCTCTTAACTAATTTGATCCGTGGATGGCAAATTTGTTTTAGACAAAAAGGATTATAGGATCTATTTAATGCACGAAAAATTAAATATAAATATAGATTTTATTTAAAAAAAAAGGTTATTATTTCACAACAATCAATAAAATCGTTTTTCAATGACACAACCCGACCACGGAGGCACCTATATGTTATTCATATCTCAACCATTATAAAATAACTTATATGAAATAACTCAAATTAAACTGACTAATGATATAAATAAATTTGTGTTTTTATGAATATAAAATGAATTCAAATTTTTTTGTTTAGGGTTAGTAACAGGTTTTACCAGGTAAAGACAAACCGACCTTAGCTCAGTTGGTAGAGCGGAGGACTGTAGTAGGCAATAAGCCAATGGCCATCCTTAGGTCGCTGGTTCGAATCCGGCAGGTCGGATTTTTTTTCTCTATTTTTCGTGTAAGTAAAATCTTTCCTGCCTTTATTGTTAGTTTAATTCAAATCAGCTTTTAGCAATGATACTTTTTGTGTAACATTTGCTCTCTAGAACTATCAAATGCCATGCCACTTTCTCTTTGATCCCTTAAAAACAAATGTACGCTTTGCAGATTTCTTTTTGATTTCACATAAATCTTCATAGAAATAAGTTGTTGAGAAATGTACGAGGTTTTGATTTCACATAAATCTTCATAGAAATAAGTTGTTGAGAAATGTATGAGGCCCGCCCAATACAATTGAAGGCCCAGTCCAAACCGATTTGAGACCCGATCCAAAAGCAAAAGGCATGTACAATTGAAGTGGAGACTATGGGGCTATAGGATCTCATTCCAATCTTCCATGTTTCAAACATCTCCTCAATGTTTTTACCACTCCTTTCTAAGAACATGTCTCCTACATTAGATGGGTTTTAGAAGGTTGATCACACAAACTTACTAGCTTTTGTACCCATGCAGTTGGTTCCGAACAACTTGAGCAACCTTTATAAGGTTGTTAGGTGTGGGCAACGTCCATGGAGGTGTTTTTGCGCGTTATGACGGCACAAACACTTCCCCCTTCACCGTTTTTGCGTGATATAAGTTTGTCTGTTGCTTCTTGTTACCACCACATCCTATAACACCCGTTTTTTTTTCTTCTAAAAATGTCGGTGGGCGTTGCCCAAACCGATCAGTCTAAAGAATCCACCCATATCATGCCCATGTTGTCTCTCCCACATTGCCTCTGCTTTTTCGATATTTTTCATTTTTTTTTCAAAAACTAACCCTAATTTGAAACACCTAAATGCTTGCGAGATGAGCTTGAGAATAAAATTAAGTGATTAACACACTTCATTTACCATCACTCAATTAGATTCAGACTCAGAAAGGAAAGAATGGATTCATAGAGATCGAGAATACACAATCAATGTAAATAACAAAAACATAAACAAACATGCAAATATAATTGCATAATTGGATTAAATCACAAATATATACTTGATTCTTGAAAATTGCAAACAAGAAAATATACAAATTGAGCTCCAGTAAATAGTGTCTTAAAACAGAAATTATTAGAATACAGCTCTGTCTTGTCTTGTCGGTACAACAATCAAATTCAAAAAAGATCTTGAATTTTTTGAATCTTCCTATGTTCTTATTATAATGGGATAATGACTTGATATGGTAAGATACTTTTTGAAATGTACACATTTAGTCCTTATTTTTTTTTTTTTTTTGTAAAATAAACCCTTCCACGTCAGCAAAACCTGTAGAATCCGGTGAAAATGACCTAATGTGTACATATTAATAAAGTATAAGGGTTTATTTTACAAAAAAAAAATAAGAACTAAATATGTACATTTCAAAAAGTATCTTACTCATTATCCCTAAAAATAATTAGAAATTGATATAGAAGAGCTCAAGTGCCCCGATCCAAGGTGGTATGTTTGACCAATGACAATATATCATTCCAAGCCCACTTTGGCTCACCCCAATACCACAATTCAAGCCAAAGAATTTAACTCATTACTTGATCCTACTTGATCCATTTTGATAAGTGAAATAGGCAAAGCCTTTTAAGGAAGGTTTAAGCTTCTTCTTCCTCGTATATATGGCACATGTCCTACAAGCTTTGTAAGTTGAAAAGCGATAGTTAATAGCTACAAGTTGGAAGTTATAGTTTTCAAAATATTAAAATTAGTTTTTAAATATGTAAAGTTAGATAAAAACCAAAAATCTAAAAGCTTCGAAAAGTTATTGGATTAGAAGTATTTTTGTTTAAGATAAAAAAAATAAAAGCTTTTATTGTCGAACATTTTTTTGAGTTTTTTCTTTAAATGGAAAAACTAAAATTTCTGTTAGGCCTAAACCAAAATAAAATATGGTTGGAAATTCAAAATTGATTTAAAGTCAACATGGGTTTTAATAAAATTAAATACAAGTATATAATGTTCTTTCTCCTTTATTCATTTTTTTATAAGTTCATCAACAATGCCTACCACTAACCATTATAGTGGTAAGTGTCACATTATCACCATATTCAACCACTAAACTTATGATATATATGCCACTAAAACACCACTCCATATTTTTTTTAAAATTTTTTTAAGTCAAAATACAATAAAAACATAGAATATCTAAATGTAGCCACACATTTTTGTATACTACTAAAACTCATTCTTCCTCTAGCATTGGGTTTTTGTTTAAATAATCATAGCGGGTCTCTAAAGTCTTACTAATACATAAAAATATAGTTTTATGTAGACGGAAACAAGATTCGGACGATTGACAACCACTCTTGTATGCGTAACATGTGTACGTTCTTCATCATGTATATGTTGCACAACATTGATGAACGTCAAGATAAATTCTCTGTCGTCATCTGAATCAAAATTCGTAAAGAAATCCATAAATATGATTTTTTTTAAAGAGTATAAATAGATGAACGGTTTGCATGTATGTGTTTATGTAAATGTTATGTTTATATTGGTAAGATTTACCCGTTTAAAAAAAAAAATCCAGCCGTTCAACGGCTAGTCAACAGGTTAAAGGAAGAATTGGCATTGATCGGTTGTTGTTGATCGTTGGATGGAGCACTATGGACCACGACCATGCCCGACCACGAAGGTCCCGCCATGTAGACCACGACCCCTCTCGTTATATGTATTAGAGAATGCCTAAATACCAAAGAATGGCACGCTTTTAAAACTTGAAATTTGAACGGGCCTAAATACGAAAGGATGGCACGCTTTCAAAACTTAAAATTTAAACGGGCCTAAATACAAAAGGGTGGCACGTTTTTAAAACTTGTTGATCGTGGGTCCATATTCTTTAATCCCTAACTAGTAAAAACCACATTCGCCATTGGCGCAGGTTTAAATAAGTTTAACGAAATTTGTGGAGGCGTGATTGAAATTTGTAAATGTCATGATGTTTCTAAATGAGTTTAATCAATAATAATAAGGTTTAAATGCAACAAAATAAAAGGCTACTATTCGTGCCATTATCTAATGCCAAGATGCTGACTTATTAAACTATAATATGATAAGAGGTTTTTAAAATACAAATCCGACCTTAGCTCAGTTGGTAGAGCGGAGGACTGTAGTAGGCGACAAGCCAATGGCCATCCTTAGGTCGCTGGTTCGAATCCGGCAGGTCGGAATTATATTTTAAATATAAATTTTGCGCATATAATATTAGTATAATTTTTCTCTATACATGTTTTTTTGGGCCAAAAATCACGTTATAAACAAACATCTTACAAGTTTTGTGAATTTAATAAAATAAGTTGCATCATATATATAATGAGCTCTAGAATCAATCATCTTACAAGTTTTGGAATATAAGGACATAAGGAGAATAGTTGGGTGGGTCATCATTCTGTCCGATCAGTCCCTTTGGGTTTCATATTGAAATAATAGTAATATCTTTGCGTAAATAATTTGGGGATTTCAAGAACTCAATACCCAAGTCATTTTCTTTTTAAAACATACAAATACAAATGCTAAAAACTCATCTTGTCAAAATTGTAACTCCTATCACTAACACCTGAACATTTGTGATCACCGTTTCATGCAATCTTTTTACTGTTTTCCTGACAAAATGGCCAACTTAAGTTGTCTTTCCTGGCACAATTTCACCGGATTTTTATAAATAGTAATCTGAACCAACTTCCCATCTGATAAAACCACACGTGCAATACTAAAATCATCACCTTTTTCAACACCAAATTGCCACTCTCTTACTGTTATCTCAAACCAATCTTTCCTCCCACTTGAAGTCGCCTTAACTTCAATATATTCCTTCTTATTATCCTCCCCTACAACAACAATATCATAAGGCAACCCAGATTCCTTTACCTCATTCACCCATCTCACATTTTTCTCACCAAATTTCCCACTAAAATATTTAAAAGCCACATCTTCACCTGTCCTTCCCGTTATCACCTGTTGTGGGGTCCCCTGGCCCACCGGGCCCAAACTTAACTGCTCTCTCACAATCCCATGTGATGATGATGATGATGACTCGTTATTCTTTCTGTAATCCAACTCGTAATCCAATTTGTCTTTCTCCTCCAAGATCATTGGAGCTGTGTTTAAGGTTTCATTCTCTTCGATGATCCAGTCATCATCATGTTCGATTACTTCACTTTTGTTACACGGTTTTGTCTTCAACGCGTGTTCGAACCCTGGTGCGGTTTTCCAGTTGACAGGTGGCCAACTCGAGTTGGTTCCAAACTTCTTGGAGGCGGAAGTAGGCTTTGGAGGAGGGTCTAATGGCAAACCGGAGGTGGTTGGAATTTCGTTTTCCGGCGATGACATGGCGGCGATACTCCATGGTGGTTCTTGACTTGGGAGGTTTGATAGCTTCTGGCTGTTGGAAATGAAGGATTCCATTTGGTCCTGGGTGGAACCGGATTCTGCCATTGTTGTGATCATGTGAAGGAAGTTTGCTAAGTGGAGTTGGGGATTCCGGGGGATTAGGAAACGGGTAAGCTCGAGAAACAGGGAGTGGGAATCGGAATCACGGGTTGCATATAGGATGTTGTCTTGTAGGAGACAATTGCAGTCGTGGCGTTTGTTGGATTCGATTTTGAATCTTTTTATGATGTTTTTGTAGAACAGATTTTCCACCACAATGATTCGGAGTTTTTGGTTCTTGAATTGAGAATATTCGTTTGGATGATTGGTGTAAATGTAACGCTGTGCATATGGGAGGGCCCACGTTATTAATGAAGCTTTGAAACTACTGTCTGTTGGGCCATAGTATATTGCTTCACGTGTCACAACCTGTAAAACCCGAGTGTGTGTAAGAGAGAGAGAGATTCCAGTGTGTGTATGAGAGAGAAAGAGAGAAAGATGTACCTCAGAAAGCAAAGGGATTCCGAGATTCCGAAGTAAGACAGAAATCTTATCCTGAAGGATTTGTTTTTCTTCAGGATTAAGATCCCCAAAAGATAGAAAATCGACATTGTTCAAGTTTTTGAATTCTTTTTTCAGATGTTCATCATCACACCAACATAAAAGACCAAAGGATTCATGTAAAGAAACCCATTTATCTTGTACAGTTGGAAGTATTGTCATTTTCTTTTTGTGTATGCTCTTCTTCAAGTAGCCAATATCTTCAGAACTCAGAATCCCAGATTCCATTCCGTCGTTCCACTGTTTAAAAACTTGGAAAACCTAACACATGAAACAAAAAAATGTTATCTGATTAAATGGATAAAATTAAAAAGATTCCAATTTGTGACACTCACTGTTTTAGCTGCTTGTGATGGCAAAATTGTGGATGATAATTGTAGCAAAGATTGAAGGTAGCCAAGGAGAGGAGGATTTTCAGCTACTCCAAATTCAGTAACAAAGAAATAATGAAGGCCAGGGTAAACATTGCATAACATCTTGCTGAGAGGACTATTAGTCAAATGTTGGTCTACTGTTGTTGACTTTAATTGTTCCATTGACCCGATGGAATCATGCCAAAATACTTCATGGGGAGATAAGAATACACCAGATACAACTTCATCTGTGGAATTATGTGAATGAGGAACAAATATGAAAGCTTGAGAATTCAAATTGTCCAAAATCTTGTGTCTTGAGATGCTCATCTCATTCCATATGTATGTGTAAAGCTTGGTCATCTGAGATATGCTGTCAAAGAAGAGAATAAAAAAATAAAAAAACTATATATAACAAAAAGAAGAGAACTAATTATATATCGGTGAAGGATTAAAACTGAAATACCTGGCCTTGAAACGTTTCTTAGATGTTCTCCAAACTTGAAGAACTGATAAAGCATCATCAAGAGTGACTGTAGTCTTCAACCCAACATCACTTAACAACTTCACATTTTTAACCTATTTCATGACAACAAACATCACAAGTATTATTATTAGTAGTAGTACTTACATTTTTTTTACATTGTATATTATACCTTTGGAACAGCATATGGTGCAAAATCACCAAGAATTGCAGAAACCGTGTCACAATTATGAAACAAATCTTTGGAAAAGTGAAGTTGATCATCCATACTAGAAGCCAACCATTGGACACTATGAAAGGTTCTTAAAATGGAAGATTTAAAGGGCTTGTTATGTCCATTTATGCTGCAAAAACCTGTAAGTTTATCCCTAAAATAATCATCCCATAGTGTATCAAGTACCTCCAAAAGGTACTTACCCTTGTTCCTATCACCACTTGACAACAAACCTGTTAGCTCTTGAGATTCCCAATCTTCCACAATGGACCCTGAAGATATACAATCATCATCCAACATCATGTTCTTGAGAATAGTATGTGGTATATCTGCAATTCGCTTTTCAATTTTCACTATTTGCACAAAATCAGTCACCCCCAACTCCTGCAAGAATTTTCTCCATTTTGATTTTGCTCCATTTAAGGATTTGGAAATCGGGTGCTTCAGATAGCTGTTATCAATCTCAAACCATTGCATTTCAGTGCCATGAATCAACTTCCTCATATCAATTGTGTTCCCGAATTCTTTACTGAAATGAATTGGCACGTCGAAAAGTCTTTTGTACCCCTGGTTTGTGGAGATAAAAGCAGTGTCACGCACCTGTGAGAATAGATTCTCTCTTTCTGGTATACAGTCAGAGCATGAGGACTCAAAATGGAACATGATAAAAGAAAGATATTCAGTCATCAATTCTTTACTTTCTGATATAACTTTTTCAGCTGAAATAGCTGGCAAGATGTGCACTTTTAAAACTTCATGTGCAGATAACTTTTGAACACCCACTTTGTAAAGCATTTGAGTTATGTTTTCAACATGGGTATTGTTAAGAAGGGCAGAATTGACAATTCGAAGTTTGGGGTACAAGTTCCTAAAAGCTTCAAGACCATGTTTGCTATCGACTTTATCAGTATGCAACCATATTGCACCTTCTTGAATTGATGAATATTTGCCATCAGAGAGAAGAATAAATGGTAACTGAACAAGGGTATTTATGACATCATCACTATGATCAGAAACAGAAACATTGACCAACATCAAATACAAAACATTTAGCCAAGAACATAGCCAATTGATTCCCTTTGATTTTAATGAACGTTTCTGACATAATGATGTCATGATCTGAAGAAGAATCTTGGGCCCACATTCTTCAATCCCTAAAGCACATGCTAAAGAATCTGATAAAACCGTATCTTTATTCAAGTACCCAACACCAAGATGCTCTTTTATTAAACTATCAGGTAATAAATCACGAACTTCATCGGTCCAATTTCTTAGTACTTTACATGGTGGGACCCACTTCTTGTTGTCCCCTTCTAGAAGGAAACAGTTGGAAGTAAGCAGCTTGGAAAGAATCATACGTGGGAGGCAAGAAAAGAACCCGTGGACCTCCCCTCCTAAAGGGACAAAACTCATAAAGACCGAAATACCCTTTGCGGGATTATCCTTAAAACTCGGGAGACTACAGAACGATTTTTCAGCACTCACGAACAAATCTGGAAATTCCGATAATAACCATTGATTCCATGGACTATCTCCATCTACTTCCTCTCTTGATGAAGGGAGAATAAAATCAGCTTGGATTATAAACTTTAATCCATAACTTCTTAAAGGAAGAAAAGCAAAAACAGGTTGGTGATCCAGTTTTGGAATGTAGTTTCCATTATCCAAATCTTCTTCCAACATAAGAGCCATTGATATTTCAGTTGTTTGGACATCATGGCGAATGTGATTGGATTGAAGTTTACTGGATTTCACAAACCAAGTCATTTTTTGTTCCCCAAAAGAAACATTTACAATACCATCTCCAACAACTTCTTTCCTCATGATAATGAGTGAATCATTTAAAAGATTTCTGAATTTGATACATTTGAGGCGATGAAGGAAGAGTAACAAGGATGGATGGAGATCAGAGAACATGGAAATGAGATTCTCAACTGAAAAGGGTTCGTGTTTCTTTGATTTGAAAGGAAGCACAATGCATGTATTCCAGTGTTTCTCATTGTTCATGGAAACCAATTTGCTGAAATGATCAATGTCACAAGGTGGGACAATTGTTGGTAGAACAAAACCGATTTGACCATTGGTTATGTCAAACTTGATATGGAACCCATTTGAATGGATTTCTGGAGCATCCGTAACCTAAAAGTAGATTAAAAAAAAGTTTTTATTAGTAAACATAAAACAAAGAGTAAACTACATTTTTGGTCTCCGAGTATAGCCAATTTTTGCAAATGTAGTCATAAAAGGTTTTCTCTTGCAACTTTGGTCCCTATTTTAGGTTTTGAAACGTTTCGGTCCTTATTTTAAAGTATTCTAACATATAAAACACAATATAGTTATTTTAATGAAATGGGGACCAAACTTGTTATAAAAAACAACAATTACAAGTACCAAAACGTCAAAAGAAAACTTTTTGGAACCAAATTTGCAAAAATAGCTATACTCAGTGACCAAAAATGTAATTTACTCTAAACCAAAATAAAGAATGGAATGCATAAATCGAGTAGTTAAAGAATAGTATAGTATACCCGGAATACAGATTTGAAGCCAATGCCCTTTTTACCAATATACCCTGCACTAGGCTCCTTCTTTGTTGAATTGCCAACATCACAAAGTGCTTTGATGTTTTCAACAGAAAATCCTTGCTCATTATTCAAGACTATAACACCTTCTTCTTGAAGAATAAAGGTCAAAGTTGGCTCCACATCACATGGGTACACATTGTCATCAGCATTTTGAACCTACAAATGAGAGAAAACGAGTGTTTTACACAAAAGAACAATAGCATATTAAAGGGCAAGTTTCTTTTTTCCCATTAAGTCCAATATGTATCAGGTAAATGACCATTTTACCCTTCAACATAAACATGAAAATAAAAGTAAATGAAAAAGATGCACTCACGAGTTCGAGTAGAAAATGTGAGTCTTGAGAGTATAACTCTTGAGAAAGACAATGTAATGCTCTACCTAATCGAGCATGTTGTTTCTTCAAAATAGTGTCTTCCTCCTTTATACTTGGATCCAACCCAAATTCTTCTCTCCTAATAGACTCGATAATCTTGGCAGATTCCTTTTCATTATTACTTCTAGATGAATGTTTCTTCACTTTCTTGTGATCCATTTTTTTGCCAATGACATCAGTTACTTGACAATTCTCTGTTTTCACATTACCCTTTGTAGACAACACTCCTTTCCTTTCAACAGGGGTATAACTGGTAGATGCATCCTCTTTTTGATCAAATTCAGATGACTTAATGGAATCAGAAACAGAAAAGATACGGTGATCTTCAATCCATTCCATTACACCAAGAGAGAACCCTAATTCATGAAGCATTACACGGTGTTCTGTGTGTTTGCATTCATGTAAAATAACTGAAGAAGCATCTTTAACAATGGAACGGAATCCAGAAAGCAATACATCGGTTGCAAAGGAACGGAATTCAACAGGTAAATAAGCCAGACATTCTAGCATAAACTTAGATGCAACGGGTATTTTGTTATTGAGTTGACTTTTGTCTTTTGATGAATCATAATTCATTATGACCTTAAAGGCTTTTTCAGCATGACACTTTAGAAGAGATAATGGAACATTCTTTTCACCACCATAAAGTGCAAAAAGAGATAGAAGAATTACTGCTGTTTGAAAAGAGGACCCACGAATGGAAGCTTCTAGAAACGAATCCACTGTGGATGTATGATCAATACGTATCACATTTCCACTTTTAGTCACCAAACAAAGCAGCTCATTCGCTTTAATCTCATTTATTAACCACAAAGTAAGAGGGCCAAGAGAAGGGGCGAATAAAACATCCCAATGTGACCATGTATTTAAATCTGTCAACATTGGAGCCCTAATTAACACTTCAATTGCATCTTTAGAAGAAACATGTGTTTGATTGTTCACAGAAGGGCCTAATAAAGCAGCTGAAAAAAGCACACCCTTTGAAACAGGATTACTTTTGTTGCCTTTCACAACATTTTCAAGGGCTTTTAAAGAACCTTCTTTATCTAATTTGAAAGGTATCAAAGGGAATTGCTTTGTAAGCAACTCCACAACATTCTTAGTGGTTAAATCTTTGTTTTGTAATGAGGCTTGTGCTACTAGCACATTCAATAGCTGATTAGACATGTAAGCCTCTAAAGAAGGCTTACAGTGTTTCCCATCACTCTGAAAGATTTTTTGGAATGAAGGAGGAAATGAAGAAATGTTTCTTTCAAGGAATGTGAGATAATCACCATGTCCTAATGACTCAAAGTTTGCAACAGCAAATTGTTGAGTTAGCCATACCTCACACTTGTAAAGACTTTTAAAAAGGGTTTCATGATTATCTTTAAAAAATTCAAAACCTTTCTTCAAAATGTCTTCAAGGCTGACTTCTGTATAAGGTAAAGAAACAAACAAAAGGTTGAATTGGTGAATCAAAATAATGTTAAAATCATTATGATGTAATTACAGAAACACTCACCACAATGTTCTTTTAAGACTTGCTTACTGGCAGCTTGTTCTGTCTGCATTGTTGCATTCTCAGTATGATCCTCAGCATTTTGTTGATCAAAAGTTTGGAGAGTGTCATACATGCTATCCCACATTCCATCTTTTATAGACTTTACCTGGAAGTTTTATAGAGATTTTTCATTATAAACTACATAAATTGCACGGACTATATTGCAATTTTCATTCCATTCCATGATGGAATGAAAAAACATCACATGGGTAAGGAATGAAAATTAAGAAAATGGAAGGAATCACATTCATATTTAGTTTAGTTGCTAAAAACATTGTTCTTTTCCAGAGATTTTTTGAAAAGTTAGATGGTTTGCAACAATTTTTGAAGTCAAAATCTGTAACTGTGTATCTGTTTGAGCCATCATTTCATATAGCACCAAAAACAATTCATTTAAGTTTTCCAAATACACAATAACAATCAACCTTTCCCCTACTTATTTAAGAACCTTTTTTATCATCCAAGAAACTAAGAAAATGACATGAATTCTGATGAGCTAGTGATGACTTACTAACCGCAACATTCATTAATCCAATCAAAGGATAGGACTGGCAAAGTTTTACAATTGATGTCTCATTTGATGCCTCTCTCGATTTCGATTTATTTTTTTTCTTCTTTGGAAGTTTGGAGGGTCCATAGAACTCAAACATCTGAATGAATACCTATCAATCACAACAAGTGAAGATACTTTTAGGCATATAAATAACATAATAGACAATGAAACACTCAAATACGTGAGTGCAAACAAAAAAGAAAATAACAAACCTCAGATGCTTTCTTCCCTTTGCATGCCTCCTTCCACAAAGTGACAAATGTCATAATAGATTCATTACTTAGTGTATCAGCTATATGTCCATAGTCAATTAGGCTCACATTCTTCATCATAACAACATCTCTTTTACGCAATTTGAGGGTACGAAAATCATTGCATTCTATTTCATCAGATTTTCTCTTTTTATTCACACTTGCTACAGCTTCATTAGGTTTCTCTTCCTTTTCACTTGTGATTCCAAGTCGTGTCTTCTCCTCATTTACAGAGGGATAAGGACAAGTGCTAACTCTATCAGAACTTTTCTTCCTTCGAGATGAGTTTTTGCTTTTGCTTTGACTAGTCAAACAAGTTTCATCTTCATTTTCATCGCTTTCTACATCAACGCCTTCATCTTCTGAACTTGATAGAAATCGTATGTGCTTCCCGTTTTCAGAAGAAAATGACTTGAGGCGTTGGGATATGGCACCAAAATTTTCATCAAGCTGTTTTTTCTGTGATGTGAAAAGAGGACGTTTTTTCTTCTGTTTGCCAGAACTTTCAAGATACTTGCTTACTGTGGCATTTTCCAAAGGCTTTGCTTTCCGAATAAGAGTAATATGCATCCTAAAGAAAGAAGAGAATGGGGTAAAGGGAAGGTAAAAAGCAGAAGGGCAAGAGTGAGAAGGTATATATTGCATGAAAAGCACAAACAAAGTATGATGAATTAGTAACTACATTCATATGGCAACTGCTTTTATAAAATAAGAAGTTATCAAAGATAATATGTATACTATTACTACCCCTGTATAGATGTGTAATGCTTGCAACTAATATACTAAAGAGGAATTGCAAAACATACCCCAAACTTTGGATACGCACATGAAGCTTTTCCTTGCTATCAACTGATCGCTTGTTGGCGATGAAATCCAAAAATTCATTAACTAAAACCTCTTTGCCTTTATGAATGTCCATATATTCTACAAGAAAAGAAATTATCTCTCGGGAAGATATTTTGAACACTGCCGTTGAATCAGAACTCACACAAAAATAATGATTTATAAGAGGATGCCTGATGAGAGGTCCCAATTCAAGCTCTTCAAATTGCTGAACTCCTTCGTTCTTGCAGATTGCCATCTCCAAATCAAATAAAGTGGTAATCTTCCAGACCTCAACAAAGCAATGGATAAATGCATTAATCTGAAGGGAAAAACAAGAAAAATCGCCTCTATCAGTATGTTAACTTTGAAGTCAGAAAGCAATGGAATTGAGATACCAAAAACTGAAAGGTGTCCCGTTTTTGGAAGAGTGGCAGAACTATAACTATCAAAGTAATAAACCAAGATTTTAGCAATAATAATATCATTTAGATGCATATTTTTACCTTCCCTTCTATCAGCATAAGGCGGTATAGACAGGGTACATGTTGCATCTGAACCCCTAGTGAATCCCATGAATCAGCTTGAAGTACTACAAGGGCAGCCTGTGACACCTTCAACGCCGACACGTTTTCTCCGGCGGCAATGAGCTCACGGCGTGCCTTTACAACGGCTTTATCGATCTTTTCCATAGTTCCATTATGCGGTATCACTCTATTATTTGACAACTGGTTATGAGGAGTGAAGCTATGGTTTTGCATATGGAAGCTGGGGTTTTCAATGGAGAAATTATGGTTTTGCATATGAAAGTTGGGGTTTTCAATGGGAAAATTATGGTTTTGGGTATGGATGTTGGGGTTTTCTACGGGAAAACTACGGAACATCGGAAAGTTTGGGGGTTGGAGGTAATAGTTGTTGTTTAGAAGATAATTAGGGTTCATATGCGGCTGTGCTTGCTGTTGCGGCGGAGGTTGCCCTTGGCCGCCGCCACGATGGCTGAAGCGCGGTGGCGGTCCGTACATAATGGGACTGCAGTTTGGAGAAAAACCGGCGCGGAGAGATTTTGTTAATCTACTGACCTAAACTCCTTCCTTCCTTTTTATTTTGGGTTATTGCGAATTTGCACCGAAATATATTTAATAATTTATATGGTCTTTTAACGCCGACGTATCAACATAATTTTTTAATCCTGTTTCAAGTGGTTAAGGGCGTGTTTGGCACGGAGCTTTTGGAAGTGTTTGAAAGCTTCTAGCTTTTAGCTTTTGACAAAACGCTCTAGTTTAAATAAAAAGCTTCGTTTGGCGGTACGAGCGTGTAACTTTTAGTTTAAACTAAACGCTCCAAATCTAAAAGCTATTTTATATAACGTTTAACAAATCAACTCGAATAAGGAGTTATTTTATGTTCTCCAGTGTCTTGTTTCATCATTTGACTTGTTATTAGATAATTTTAATTATTAATGAATTAATATTCACTTACATGTATCTCATGTTCTTATATATTTAGAAAAATATAAAATAGTATTAAATGGTATGATAACTATCTCTAAACTTATGCTTTTGAAATTAGTAAACGATGTTAATTAATAAAATTTTGATGAAGATGTTTAATCTTTGAAATCAATCTAGGTAAAAAAAATTATGGTAAACTCAATAGTATTAAAATTTTATATACGAAGATATATATGATCATAACATATTGAAATTAATTTACAAAAAGATTCGTTTCGAAAATGGGATTGTGTAATATTGTGGCAATTTATACTTTGTTTATTAAAAATTATGAGATAAATATACTTTAACTATAACCATAGTTGGTAATCGACCCAATTTTTCTTTAATATCATAATTTGTAATTTATGTAGGAGTATGTGGATGAGGCCAAATTTTAGTTCAAGGTTTGTGGTTGCTGGATAGATGATGCAAAAAGGTTGTTGAGTAACCACTTGCCTCGCCCATTGGCGAATGGATTGGCGAAGGGTTTGTTCAGGTGGGTTTTGTGGACCACGGTTGCTGTTGTTATTATTACCTCCGTTTCCTCCTTGGTCTCCCATGATAGAAGTAGGAATTGAGGTTTCTGTGGGTGTAGAGTATGGGATGTTGTGAGTAGGTGAGGATGGTGGAGTTGTATTTCTGGATGAGGATAGTTAAGGTGAGAGTGAGAGGGTTTCTGTTTTGGTTTCTGACACACTTGAGTGGGGTATATCCTCCCAAATGTTGATGATCGGAGGGGTAGATGATGAAGAAGTCTCGGAACCCGGTTGCCTCTTACGGAGCTTGGCTTGCTTCCGTAACCTCTTTGTATTCTTCTTTATCTCTGTGTCAATTGGCAATGATGTACCCATACGAAAAGATCCAGTCATAAACAATTAATAACACTGTGCCCCCGGAAACGGAGCCAATTTGTTAGGCATGTCAAACCCAACAAATAATAGGGGTACAAGGGACTCCAAATACACTACTATAATGCACTAAAAATAGTAGCACACAGCAAGCAGGGTCGAACCAAAGAGACACGGGATGAAAGTCTATACCTCTTTGCGCAAGGTACTTTGGTCACAAAGGGGGGGTTTTGTTCGCAAAAGTTAAATAATAAATATAACAATCTACTTTGAAAACATGCAGAAAAGGAAATAGATTTGTAAACAATTTGTTGGAATGATTCTAGTTCTAGTTCTTAATGTTATCATTTAACTTGATTATGAGTTGATGCAATTCATGATTGTTATTCTAAGTTGGTACTGAAAGATATTAACACGCTCTAATACCTCTATATTTCCAAATTATCTAACCAAAACATGCTCTTTGACTAGACCTAGCTTCACTAATTCAACCTAAACACGCTCTTAAATTGTATTGAAAAACTGCATTAAGTTTTGTACAAGCTTCCCAACAATGTTCATTTTTTCTCAAACTATCAGAAGTGTGAAAACATGTGATATATGTTGTACAGTAAAAAAACCTATTATTTGTTACCAATCATTAACTTTATAGAACGATTAGGTGCCCTAAAAGTTAATTAACTACACAAGAATTCAATTCATATAAGTGGTCATTCAAACGTAAATCAAATTCAAGGATTCTAGTTTAAACAAGAACATAATCACTAGAATATAATCATAAATCTAATATCAAGTCGTATGCTTCAAGTCAAGTAATCAACATGTTTTGAACAAGAACTAGAAACTAAGGTTTCTTAGCCACACGTAGCTAAGAACAAATCAACCAACAAAAAGATGGAATTGGAAATGTTTAATGCTTACAAATAGAAATCAAAAGTGTTTGCAATGATTAGATATCTTCAAAAGTCTTAAAAATTACCCAAAATCGCCAGATCTTTCTCCCCAAAACCGTTCCTGATTGTAAAATGACGATTTCCTCCAATTTAGCTTCATAACTAACTGCTCACGTGCTTGCCATAAGACCATGCGTTTTTGGCATGGACATGCCTTTTGCCTGTGTGTTTTTAGCATGGCCATTTATTTTGACCATGTGTTTTTGGCATGGTTGTGCTTCTTGCAAAAACTAAAAAATATTCAAACTTTACTCTGTATTTGGTCTAGCTTTACCCAGAATCATGTTGCTAAAAAATATAAGATGAAAAAGGACAAACACGACCTGTGTCGGTGTGACACGAATCGTGTTTCAAATGTAGCCCTTTGTTATGATTATATGCAACGACTCGGGTTATGCCTTCATGTTTTCTTCCATGGCATGACCAGTCCATCTTCTCTTCATGCTCTAATAATGCTCCAAGTTCCAAGATCCAAACTCCAAGCTCTCCTTTAAAGTTCCAATGCTCCAAGCTCCATAATTCCTACAAAATCAATCAAAAATAATGAAATACCAGGCATTCCGAATAAAGCATGCAAGTGCCTAAATAATTAACTAAATGCAAGAATTATGAAGTAAAATGCAATGAAAATGTATAAATAGACGTGCAAAATAGGTGCATAAAATACACTTATCATAGAACGACAATGGAGGGAAGCGACAACAGTCTTCCGGTGATGGTGCTCTGAAGGTGACAATGGTGTCGTTGGTGGTGCCCTGCTGGTGACAATGGTGTTGACAGTTGGAGCTAGTGGTTGTGGTATTAGAGTTTGTGTGTTCTTACAAATGGTTGGAGAGTTTGAGAGTGTTTTAAAATCTAAATAATAGACCTGATTGTAAAAATGAATTGTTTGTGTGTTTTGATAGTGTTAATGTTAGAATGACAATAATACCCTTAATGAAAATGGTTATTAAAAGGTTCCTAATTTTTTTGGTTCTCATTTGATCTTTTCTCTCTCTCTCTCTCTATATATATATATATATATATATATATATATATATATATATATATACACACACACACATACACATACACATAATTATTATGACAACCTGCACTGTAGCTTTGAAAAGACAAGAAAGGGAGACGTGAAGATTAAATCATATTTTTGACTTTCCTTCACCAAAAGTCTTCATCTAGTGATTTTCAAATCCATAAACATAACAAGCGTTTATGAGTCTTGACAATCCATTTCGACTATTGAATAACATGCCATATTTGACTTGAGATTGTTCAAATCTTCACACTTACCTAACAAAATTCAAATGTGGAATTCATCAACTAAACCTATAATCATGTTCCTCGCATTACTAGTAATATCATATCATGAATTCAAGCTTCAATTTGAGTCCTAACAACTCTTTCAAGCTTTACTTTAATTGAGCACATAAGCTTAATAACAAGGAGAGGGGATACCTTAACTCACTTAGTAGCTTAGTTCTTGTATCTCCTTGTTCTTACATGAAGGATTTCTTTTCTCCAGCTAAAAATTGCCATAGTCATGCTCTGGTTCGAGGTTAAAAGAAATAACCCCAACTGATATGATCTACACAACTCATACATATATAGAGTCGGCATCTACGCGCCGTGTAGATCATATGTATCAGATGCATATGTTTAAGTGACCTCGTGTCTACAACAACATACTTTCTATGCATCGCATCAAGTGCATGTTACACGTCGCATTCAGACATAGTATGATGCTCTCTCCCAAATAACAATATACATTACCGTGTTACATAAAAATACCTTTACGCGGTGCATAACAAGCATATACGTGCCGTGTAACTTGCTTTATCATATTCCTTGTTGCATTGCATTCCAGATTATGGCTATTTTCTATTCCAACTTCAACTAGTCACGACTTACTAATTTTAAGTCTAATTTTAGGAATTTTATATCCACTTAAAGATGGGAAAGAGCTTAACAAATCCATAAAGTCGCTTTTGACTAAATGCTTACATAACTTAATCTATTGAGTCATAAAGTTAACGCTTCAAAATGTTAAAATTTCCCATTTTGTTCTTATGGTCATTTGAACAATTTACGAATTAACTGTAACGTCCCAAATTTCAAACCAAAATTTTCATTTAAATTTGTATTAAGCATTCAAAGGGCCATTCTTTGAAAACATATCTTAGCTTTGATTTGAATGAAATTCATAAAGTATAACCAGAGTTTTTCTATAAAGCATGTGGAAGTCAAGATAACGATTTGACACCGATGCGATGTACAGTCACCCCTGAGCCTTCATCACATTCGATCACCCTGAAAAAAAAACATTAAACTTAACAACATAAATATAAATCTTAGTGAGTTCCCCAGTATACCACATATCTCACCATACATACAATACATACAGGCAGACAAAGGCTCTCGACTCTAGTGTCGATGCACCTAATCAACGACAACCTGGTGCATGTCTAGTCATCAACAACAACTAACGACTCTACTGCATGTCAAGTCATCAACAACGACTAACGACTCTAGTATATGTCTAGTCATCAACACAAGTATTCTAGGCTCTTGACTCTAGTGTCGATCCACCATCAACTCCTCAAACATACAAATCAACACACCATACAATCATACAAAAGCTATTACTATAATTTTGACGGTCGCTTTATGATTGCATAATCATACATAACCTGGAAGTAAGATAGACAATCCAACAGATAATCCGAAAACAATTAATCAAACAAGAACCATACAATAAGGTCATACCGAGTTCTAATGCTATACAACTCAAACTATGTATAACCCCTATGACATCCA